TGGATGGAAGAAGCAGTGCATCGTTGAATGAGACATATGACCGTAGCGGTTTCTTTTTATTGAGCCCTTGCTTCCTTTCTCAGCACATTCAACCACACTACATACAGTGCGGCAGGAGGCCAGGAAATTGTCTCTGAGTGGAAAAAACTTGCTGCCATTTCTATTAACTCACCCAGCAGAATCACCTTCCCATGGAGTGTTAAAACAGCTGCATTTTTTTTCATCCGATGAATGAGCTTATTTGGGCAGACAGTGTATGTTTTTAATATTTTTTTTTTTAAAAGTGGAATGTTGTTTTTAATAATAACTTGCGGTTTGCACAGTAGCGTGTGAAGAAATACATTCACAGCATGGGTTCACCCGGACCATTAGGATACTGAATCTGTCTGTCTCAAGCCAGATTGTTCAGACTAAAGCAGAATTCAGCTTGTTTGAACCTGCTGGAAGAGTGACTCCTGATACTCTTTGGTCTTTTGGCTAAAGCCCTGGATTAGGAGAATGCAGACTTGGGTTCTATTCTGAGCTCTACCATGACTTGTGTAATCTTGGGCAAGCCACTTACACTTCTCGATATTAACTGATAGGGCTTTAATTTGATCAATGGGGTTGTGCTCACTTGATCCTTGGTCTCCTCATGTGCAGTGTCATCAGAACCGTCACTGGAATACTTCATGATTTAAAAGGTTCCTCCTGCTTATTCGATATGTCACTGTCAGGATAGAGTGGAGCAGAGTCTTCATATCAGGTGCAAACATTCACCCTGAGCTAGATTTAGCAGCTAAATCCCAGTTTAAGTATATTTTTAATAGCAAATTTGAAAACAAATAGAAATGTGGCTGTTTTTTCAGCACCTCTAAAAGAGTCGCAATCAAATAATCACATAAGACACCAGACCCTTTTTAATGGGATACACTAGGGGATATAGAGTAACCTTTATTTGTAAACTATTGAAACATAAGTGATGTTATATGCTACATCTGCACAAGGGCTTTGATGGCCTTATGGGACGCATGCACTAAACTTCCACTTCTGAGTGCTTGAGTTCAAAACCTAAACTTAGATCAACGTTGAAATTAAGTTCTCATCCCCTGTGCACATTTGTCTCCATTGCCATATCAGTACACAATAACTTAACACACTTCTCAGACCCTACGGAAAATCTGATCAGGACCAGTCAGACAGGGTGGCTCAGGTTGGGAAGATTCAGGTGCTTTAGCACAGCCTTACAAAGAAGCCCACACTAATGGGATCCATGCTCTTTTTGATGCATTCATGTTAGTGCTAATTGTGCATTGATGGAGCCTAAGTATTTGTACCTAATATTTTCAGTCTTCCACTGTCATTAGTTTCCAGTGCACAAAATATGCCTCCACCCTAAACCTGAAATATTGACTTCTATGGGTGAGACGTTAATTCATTCTCTATGGCCCATTTAATCCATGGCTTCTCTGCTGAGACTTCCAACCAGATTCCTCTATGAGTGCCACTTGGGGTGACAGCTTTTGCTATGTGGACACATAACTCAGCTTTTAAAAGTCACCACTGAAGTAGTCTTAGTCCAGTTCCCTGGGGACAGATATCCACATCACAAAAACCACCAACCCCATTTGCTCTGATTGGCAACACTGCACTCAGCAGAGAAACTAAGTGGACCATGGAGGCTGAGCTCCCCTCTTGTCTCTAGAGGTGGTTGCTATGGTCAGATGAAAGGTACATTCATGAGGCAGTGTGTGAGGAAGCTGGCTCTGCTGATACCTATTCTGTAGACATCGAGTTTCAGTGACTGGGGCAACCAATCTGGTGTCTCATGATTCTAAGCCTCCCTTGGATCTCTCACACTGCAGTATTTCCTTGTGAGTTATATGCATGTTAAATTATGTGAAATAGACCTCCTCCCCCCCCCCAACCCCACCTGGTAGGTGACAGCACATCATCACGGCCTACATAGACACATACACACAGAGAGTAAAATATTTCTACAAATGAAAACAATGCTGGAATGGGTGCAGGAGAGAAGGTGTAGATCATGAGAATCGTAATGAAAGAAACAGGCTATCCTGTGGTTAACTGCATTTTTTTCCAGGATGTGCTTATGTGACTGACCAGGCTATGTCCTTCCTGGTGCTGTCTTCAGACTCATGCAAGGATCTTTACCTTTAGCAAGAGTTAATGGAGCGCCCCCTTGCTTTATGGTCTCTCAGATAAGGACAGATCATCTTTTTATGAAACAGGAAGTTTTATAATCTCTACATCTGCCACTGCTGCTCTGTAAGTAGTCATTGGGAGCTTTCAAACCCTACAATTAATGGGCCTCGCTTTCAAGCTGGCTTTGCAATTAATTGTGCTCCCTCTCTCTCTTTCTTTCCCTTTCTCTCTCCTCCCACCCACTTCTGCAATAAAACTCCAGACACTTCCTGGTTTATTGGGATGCAAAGGAAGGATTGGGAAAAGTTCTGTATGACTTTTTAAGTGATTCCGTATGGCTCTCCAGCGCCTGCCCTCATCACGAGCTGGAATGTGCTTCCAGTTTCCCAAATGCTCATTTATTTTCGTAGACAATGTGGGATCCAGTTATTTCACCTACAAAGCTCCGATTGGTGGAAAACAGGAAATTTGACCACAGGAGCCCTACCTGGTCCAGACTAAGGAACACCCAGCTGCCTGGCTCAGACTCATCTCCTAACATCCGTTTCAGGGGAATAAAAAGGAGAATTTGTATCCATTAACAGTTCTGCTCTCCAGGCATATTTCTGGATTGGCTAATATCCTCTCTGTTCAGTCCAATAATGCTTTGTTGTTGTAGTGATACTGAAGAATTAGGTGCTGGAGTGTTATGTGTCACAGCATCATTTTTCCCTGATGTTCCTGGTTTCCACTGAGTCTAGTGGATGCATTTAATCCAATACAACCACCTTTCATTTATATAGTACTTTGCATAACAATGTACTTCCAAAACTATATGCATTCACAACGGAATTACTTTCCCACGATGGAAAGGCAGTCACTTCTGATGTTGCGCACCACCCAGCAAAACAACCCTCAGGAGAAGTAGTGTAGAATATTATGTTTGTGAGACTTCAGGCTGAAAAGAAAGGTGGCTTCAAAGTGATATTAAAGTAAAGAAAAAGTGGGGAAAGCATTAGGGATCTTTAATGGTCCCATGAGAAAATTAGTCACTTCATTAAAGCCTTGCCCCAAATGTACCCCTTGTGTAATTACATCATTCTACAGTTACAGTAGAATGATTTTGGACTACTATATTTTCTTTGATTTCCCATACCTTGTTTAGCAGGGCTTCATAAAATAATGATGTTTAGGTGCTTTACCTGCAGTTTCAGCAGTTTTGGTGATTTACCTCCTATATGTAGTCTCACATAAATTCTCTAGAAATGGACCCTCTGATTATGCCCAATGCATTGCCCTGATATATGTGCAGTTAGATTCTTTGGGAATGCAAAAGAGATGAATAGATATCAACAAATTTCTGAATTAAAGAAGAAAGTAAAGAACATTGGGAATTTGATTTACAATACCAACAAAGAGATAAGAATTACTGTGTCCAAGACCTTTTCGAAGTTCTCCCTGGAAAACTCCCTAGTAAAGGGTTTTATTTTATTTTCTCATCCCACTTAAAATCCTGCTACCCATATGTTACATGTCCTGATGAGTTGCATGTAAATTGTATTTTTGTGAATGTAACATATGGAATCCCCCACCTTTCTTGAAAAAATAAGAGCTCCCAGTACAATATGTTTCTTTCATCTAATTCATTCTTTTATCTCTTTTCATGTCATGACGGTATTTCAGGAACATATATATTTTCTATCATGAGATTTGTATTAACTAGAATATGATCAAGCACCCTGATGTCAGTGTTAATTGGGAAGAGTGGGATGCCATAATGATACTGTAGTAATAGGTACCATTGTGATGCTGTAGTATTATATTTTCTTCATTTTCTAAACAGACTCTGACCTGGACATATTTTCAAGTCAATTTTTGTATGAAGGTAGTTCTAACTGATTCTGTGCCATATTTTGCAAGAATATAAGTTTGTTAGCACCACTGTTTTGACCATCTTCTAATCTGCACACCTACTGTAAATTCCCCCTGCCGTTTTAGTTGGATGTGTGATTCTTCACTTCCAGTGCTAAACTATTTCATGATTTTGCTGTATGCTGTTAAACAGCTGTCACATACCACACTAGAATGGCTGCTTTTGACTTCTGGAGAAATTATTCCTATGTGTATATAGTATTTAAACCACATCGAGATTAAAGGTATTTTCCAAATATATTATCATTATTAATTATTATTATTATTATTGAAAAGTGGGTCTCAGTTATAGTGGATAAAGTGGATTTCGTATAAGAAATGATTGGTTCTGTAGCTTAATTTATATGTCCGCCATCCTTCCCGCAGTAAATTAGGAATTGGATTCAGTGTTGCCAATTCTTGGAATTTTTATGACAAGCCTTGCAATATTTGATGTTTTCCATGAAGCCCCAGCTGCTGGACTCATGGGATTATGCAAGACTCACATCTTTCTTTCTTTTTTTTCCTTTTTCTTTTTAAAAAAGGAAGTTTCTATCTGAAAAATGCTTGAAAATGTGACCCCCATTGCAACCTAAAGGCTCAAAACCCAGAAAGCAAAAAGTACCCAAACTTATTTTTTTAAATAATCTGATGGGATTGGGGGGAGGCGGAGCTAGCTTTTTTTTATTATTTTAAATGTTTTGGGTAATCAATATGTGGACTTTAACCTGAAATTTACAGTAACCATGAAACTAATGGGTGAAAGAAAATACATCCTATGTTCTCCTTCCTCTTTTGCCCATGATATGCTAGTATTTATGGTGTATCTTGTAATTCCCATAAAGTTTCCTGACTGTTTGTAAATGAATTTTGGAATTTAAAGGAAAAATAGTAATGGTTTAAGTGCCATAAAGAACCTCTGATCTGTTGCCTTAGCTGCTGTGTAACAGGTGATGTATTCACAGGATTTCCATGAAGCGGTCTTGAAAGTGCTGGGGGATGAGGATGAAAATGAGAGGGAGGAGGTGAAGCTCAAGCAGGGCTTGAGTGAGATCCCTGAACTCTACAGACTACACCAGGAGATACTGGGAGAACTGGAGGAAAGAGTCCTCAATTGGTAAGTGACAACTTAATGGCCTCATCTCATCCTCAATATATTCCTTTATTCCAAGAACCACTGGCAACAGGGTTAAGATTCCAACAGAAGAAAGAAAAGATGCTAAACATCTTTAACAGGGTTTGTGCATAGGTTGCGGGAGGTAAATTTACAGGGACACCGTAAGGTTGGGAGACTGAATTTTCTTGCCTATGCCATGTTTCTATATTGTTATTTTTACCTCCCAAAAATTACAAATGTCTCAGTGCTTCTGCGCTACCCTAGAATGATAAACCATTGTATACAGCCCCATAAATCAGTGTGTGTGCAGCCCATCTCACGTGAACTGTCATTTGCTATCTGTTTGTACAGTGCCTAGCCCATTGGGGCCCCAATCTGGTTGAGTCCCTTAGGTGATTGTCACAAAGCAGTCTAATGTGTATGAACCATGAGTCATAGTCTCAAATACCAGGAAGGGGGAACAGGCAGAAAAAAACCCTCAGAGGCATTAAGAAATATAGGAAAATGTCTTTTTTAAAATTTTAGATCTCCTAGAAATTGAAATAAATTAGAACAATTCCCATGGCAACTTCCTAATATTATAGCTCCCAGTCAAAAGAAACCCACTCAGAGTTTGAACAAGCCTTTGCTGGGCTGAGTTTTCAGGCTAAACACAATCTTTCAGGGCTGCTGAGGGTCTCTGCCTAAACAAAACTAAATCTTATGTCTCTGTCTTGCCTAGACAAAGTCTATCCGTGCTAGAGCAAATCTTTTAAGCTGGATAGGCCCCTGTCTGAGCCACACTTCCAAACTAAAATGTATCAATTAGCTGGAACAAGCCTCTGACTAAGTCACGCTAGCTTCAGTCCCAAACTGACTAAATCTATGAAATCCACAGAAGGCATCTGTCTAAGCCAAACTCACAGGCTAATCTGACTCTTTCAGAAGCTGGGGCAAGCTTTATAGCTCCTTAACTCCACCCCCACTGAACTCCAGCCAATCAGCAGTCACTTTCAGTGACAGACCACTCTATCCCAGGGCTTCCACAAAATAGATTATAAATAAATAATAGTAACAAGACTGTATGCACAGTGCAGGCAGCACTCCTGAACAGCTCTACAATAACAAATCTGAGTGCACAACAGAGGAAAAGTTAAGGGGATATTATATGTGGGTTTCCATCTTCCAAGGGAATTGTTGTAAACAACAGTGAGGTAGCATAACCATTTACAGAATTGTTTTCAAAGTATGCTATTAAGAAATGTGTGTTCCCGATCCTTCTAGCTGCTGTAGATGTTCCAGGGACCTAAAATAAATGTGCAGTGAAAATCTGAAAATGTGCACTGGCTTTAGACTTTGAATACTAAACAGGCCCCTCCGCACATCTGGCAGTGCATCCTCTGTTATTCCCAGGGCTGCTGGCCAGTCCCTCTGCTGTATTCTTGATCATTCTGTGATCATTCTTGATCATAAGTGATTGGGCAACAAAATGGCAAATGAAATTTAATGTGGATAAATGTAAAGTAATGCACATGGGAAAAAATAACCCCAACTATACATACAATATGATGGGGGCTAATTTAGCTACAACAAGTCAGGAAAAAGATCTTGGAGTCATCGTGGATAGTTCTCTGAAGATGTCCGCGCAGTGTGCAGAGGCGGTCAAAAAAGCAAACAGGATGTTAGGGATCATTAAAAAGGGGATAGAGAATAAGACTGAGAATATATTATTGCCCTTATATAAATCAATGGTACGCCCACATCTTGAATACTGCGTACAGATGTGGTCTCCTCATCTAAAAAAAGATGTACTGGCACTAGAAAAGGTTCAGAAAAGGGCAACTAAAATGATTAGGGGTTTGGAACGGGTCCCATATGAGGAGAAATTAAAGAGGCTAGGACTCTTCAGCTCGGAAAAGAGGAGACTAAGGGGGGATATGATAGAGGTATATAAAATCATGAGTGATGTGGAGAAAGTGGATAAGGAAAAGTTATTTACTTATTCCCATAATACAAGAACTAGGGGTCACCAAATGAAATTAATAGGCAGCAGGTTTAAAACAAATACAAGGAAGTTCTTCTTCACGCAGCGCAGAGTCAACTTGTGGAACTCCTTACCTGAGGAGGTTGTGAAGGCTAGGACTATAACAGCATTTAAAAGAGAACTGCATAAATTCATGGTGGTTAAGTCCATTAATGGCTATTAGCCAGGATGGGTAAGGAATGGTGTCCCTAGCCTCTGTTTGTCAGAGAATGGAGATGGATGGCAGGAGAGAGATCACTTGATCATTGCCTGTTGGTCCACTCCCTCTGGAGCACCTGGCATTGGCCACTGTTGGTAGACAGGATACTGGGCTAGATGGACCTTTGGTCTGACTCGATACGGCCGTTCTTATGTTCTTATTCTGAAATTAACGAGGCCGCTGTTTAAAACCACAATCTCTGTTATCCTGACGTCTCCTTGGCCACTGCTCATTAGCAGCCCTGTACTCTCTGTTACTGCCCTTTTTGGCTGGCTCTCTCTCCTGTAGATAATTCACCTTCGGTAAATAATTAAATTGTGTGCCCAGATGAGGAACTGTAACATGGGTAAGAAGAGGGAGCTGTGAGTGAAGGGGATCTGAGGATGGAGTTATTCTCCCACTAATACCAGCACTCAGAGCAAAGGTTCTTGTTCACCCTGGTGGATTTGGAAAGCTTGCTTGGAGAAATGTGAGCTATGTGAGCCCATAAAGAGGACATTCTGACCAGCATGTACATATACAGCTGTGGTAGGTAGGGTTACAGAAAGGGGACTGGCCCCAGACAAGGCCCATTCTTCCACAGCCCGTTCCATTGCCCAGCACTTCGGTGCAGTGTTGTCCATTTCCTGACAGTTAAACCCAGGCCTTAACTGAGATCTCCTAATGGCATTAGCAGGTATGGAGCTGATGAATAGAATTTGTGTAACCAGAATGAAGTGGGGCATTTTTTGTTACTTATTGGCTTGTTCTTCTCTTTCTGTGGCTTTAGGGAGGAACACCAGAAAGTGGCCGATGTTTTTCTCTCAAGAGAATCAAGGTTCAATCACCACACAGCATATATTATGCAGTTTGATAGGAATTTGGCTTTGCTAGATGAAACCTGCCTTAAATCTTCCCAGCTGGCCACTGTCATCCGGGAGTTTGAGGTGAGGCCCCTCTCACTTCTCTACTTGCATTAATTTATGGTTGCACTGCATTACTTTCTCAAAGATATTCCTGTCTGCAACTTCACCAGCCTTCAGACAGGGTGTGGTGGAAGAATCTTAATGATCACTTGCAGAACACACTCTGGAGAGACACATGGAGTGAAGAGAGAGAGAGAGAGAGAGAGAGAGAGAGAGAGAGAGTGTGTGTGTATATGTGAGTATGTTTGCTCATGTGTGTATTGGGGGAATCCATCTCAGCCCTCTTTTTCTCTCCCCTTTCATTAATTAGCATATTTAAAGCCCTTTGAAGCTGTATAAATGTTATCATATATAATTGTATAATAAGATGTACATTATTATCATCATCATCATCCCTTCTCTTCTCTGCCCCTCCATCTCTCTTCTCCTTCTTCTCTTTAAAGCTGCATTTTATTACATTTTAAAAAGCCTCTTACTGCTCCTGCTGCTGCTACCCCTACTTATCTGTCTGTCCTGCTACCCTATGAAGCCAGCATGCCTCCATAATAACCAATAGGGCATGCTATGGCAGGGAAGCAATAATAGGAAAAAAGGCATGCAAAAAATCCACTGACAAGACCAGAGAAATGTGGGAGTCAGAACTTCTAGGCTCTCTTCCCATCGCTTCCACCAACTCACTGTGTGGTCTTCGGTGAGTCAAGTAACCTCTCCTGGCCTTGTCCTGGTGGGCAAAAAGTCTGTTTTTCAATTATGTTTAGCTCATCTGGCTTCACACAATTATCATACAGTGATGATAATCGTGGTATAAGAACCTATACAGAACAGATTGAAAAGACCACCAAGACGCAGGCTAGTGCCTTTGAAGCCATAATGGCTGGCCACAGTTTAGACTAGCTACAACATAGCCAGCTGATGTGTTAGCCTGTGTGTTGATGGGGCTTTTCAATCAAGTTAAGCTAACCTGACTAAGTTAATACAATTGAAAAGGATGCCCTTTTTTGCCCATCAATATAAGGCCTCTCTCTCTCTCATTTTCGCCATCTGTAAAAAAGGGAATAAACAACATTTAGGTGATAGGGAGGCTGTGAGGATAAATAGGCACTGATACTTTAAAGGTTATTTAGAATGTCAGTTCCATGAGGTATGGATCATGTCTTCCTCTGCAGCATGTCTGACATTTGAAAGTCAACATTTGCCAACAGATACCTTATGGTCACTGATGTAATTTCCTGTTCTAAGCAGAGGGGAGGGCTGGAATCTCACACTCCACTGGGCAGAAACTTGGCAAATGCAGGCTTTTTATTGACAACCACTGTGCTCCTTATCATGCTCAGCCAACCTACCCTGCACCTTCTTGTCTTCCTGATACAAACTGAGGGCCAAATCCTACTTACAAAGAAGCCAGTGGGGCTGCTCCTATGAGTAAGATAAGCAGGATTTGAACAGAAGGCTCATCCAGAAAAAGGGGTAACATTCAGACCCTTCTCATCTCATTCTTAGAAATGGGAGCACCTAAGATTTATTACCCTTCTAGCCCATCAACTCAGAGCTTAGGGCCCCATGTTGATTCTGCTGCGGGCTTGGCTCCGCTGGACTTTAATGCTCGGGGTTGAGTGTGTTACACATCAACCAGGAGTTGGTCAGCACTTTGCAGGATTGGGCCCTTAATCCTCTTCATGTTGTCTAGGGCAGTGGTTCTCAAACTTTTATTTTTGTGGACCACTTGAAAATTGCGGACGGTCTCGGTGGACCACTTAATGATCTTTCCAAATGCTGTTTGTACTGTTAGCTAACTATTGTAAAGTGCTTTGGATAAAAGCGCTATATAAAAAAAAACTTAATAAATGTTTTTTTTCTAGAAATAAAAGCACACAACTCATGTTTTAATATCAGTAGTCTTACATTTCTAATGCCATGGATATGCCCTCTCTCCCTGCCATGGCAGCCCCCGAGCTAGGGCTGGGAAGGAGCGGGGGGTCTCTTCCCCCACCACAGCAGCCACAGAGCTGAGGCTGGAAAGGAGGGCCATCTCTCCCTGGCAGCCACAGCTCTGGAGCTGGGGAAAGTCGCCTTTTTCTCTGGCTGCCACAGGCCTGCACATCCCAAATTCCCCCCACCCCCTCTTCTCAGCCCACTGCCTCCTCCAACCTACCCCCCGTTCCCACCAAGGCCACCACCTCACCTTACATCTGCGTCTTCTCCAGGGTCCAGGCACCTAATTAGGGGAGCTACGCCTGCACAGCTCCACTAATTAGGTGGATGGCCCTTCATTCTCTCCTGTGTGGCCACCCAGGCGTGCACCTTAGAGGGAACTATCCGCGGACCACCTGAATGGTGCTCACGGACCACTGGTGGTCCACAGACCACAGTTGGAGAACCTCTGGTCTAAGGCATTAATCAGTTCAATTGTTTTCTTCTCAAACTGCCTTTGGAGTTTTCCAAATGATTCTGACTGTCCCCTTTGCCATCCACTCAATGCCGCTGGAGGCAGAGGCAGAGCAATCATAGAGGTGCAGCTTGGCCCCTGATACACAACAAAGGATAAGGGCTCTGGTGTTAATGCTTTTCATCAGGGTGTTGCTTTGAAGTTCAGCTACAATCAGAGTTAATAGGATTTTGATTTGAGTCATAAATCCAAGCTCAGGAGCGTACTGTGCTTTTGCTATCCTGGGGCTTCTGTTCACTCACAACTGTGTAAAGAGAGAAATAAATAATCATAAAATCAATTGTGCATTTAAAAAAGAAAGGAAGAAAGGTGAGGGGGGTTTTCCCCCCTGATTTTTAAGCTGGCACAGCTGTTTGTAGTTTTCACTGCTTTAGGTGCTAAAGGACCAATTTTTCAAAAAACAGGATTGGGGTGGCAATTGCAAAATAGGTGCAGAAATATTTGCACCTCTGTGGTGGGTTTTAAGAGTGAAATTACATGGCAGGGACGGGCTGATCTTATTTCTGTAGTTCTAACCAGAACCAAGGCAGCCTAAGTTATCCCAAGCCATTAAACAGTCCTTTAATGCCAGATGATCCTTATGAACCTTTAGAGTTGGCCTAGATACATCAGTGAACTTGACTAGGTTTCCTTGGTTGAAAGATTGCTGGGCCATTAATGTTGATTTTCAATAAGCCTTGGAGCACTGGGGAAGTTCCAGAAGACTGTGAAAAAGCTCATGTTGTGCCAATTTTTAAAAAGGGTAAATGGAATAACCTGGGTAATTATGAGCCTGGCAGTCTGACATAGATCTCAAGCAAGATGATGGAGCAGCTGATATGTAACTCAATTAATAAAGAATTAAAGGAGGGTAATGTAATTAATGCAAATCAACATGGATTTATAGAAAATAGATCCTGTCAAAGTAACTTGTTATCTTTGATGAGATTACAAGTTTGGTGGATAAAGGTAATAGTGTTGACGTAATAGACTTCTGTAAAGCATTTGATTCGGTAGCACGCAACATTTTGATTAAAATAACTAGAACAATATAAAATGAGCATGGCACACATTAAGTGGATTAAAAACTGGCTAACTGATTGGTCTCAAAATGTAACTGTAAAAGGGGAATCATCATCGAGCGGGTGTGTTTCCAGTGGGGTCCCGCAGAAATCGGTTCTTGGTCCTATGCTTTTTAATATTTTTACCAATGACCTGGAAGAAAACATAAAATCCTCACTGATAAAGTTTGCAGATGACACAAATTAGGAGAGTAGTAAATAATGAAGAGGACAGGTCACAGATTCAGAGGATAAACTGGGCATAAGCAAACAATGTGTGTTTTAATACAACTAAATGTAAACGTATTCAACTAAAAACAAAGAATGCAGACCATATTTACAGAATGGGGGACTCTAGCCTGGGAAGCAGTGACTCTGAGAAAGATTTGGGGGCATGGTGAGTAATTGGCTTAATATGAGCTCCCAGTGGCCAAAAGAGCTAATGCAATCCTAGGAAGCATAAACAGGGGACTCTCAAGTTGGAGCACAGAGGTTATTTTACCTCTATTTGGCACTGGTGCAACTGCTGCTGGAATACTTTGTCCAGTTCTGGTGCCCACAATTCAAGCTGCATGCTGATAAATTGGAGAGGGTTCAGAGAAGAGCCACAAGAATGACTAAAGGATTAGAAAACATATTTTACAGCGATAGACTCAAAGAGCTCAATCTGTTTAGTTTAACAAAGAGAAGGTTAAGGGATGACTTGATTACAGTCTGTAAGTATCTACATGGGGAACAAATATTTAATAATGGGCTCTTCAATCTAACAGAGAAAGGTACAATGTGATTCAATAGCTGGAAGTAGAAGTTAGACTAATTCAGACTGGAAATAAGGTGAAATTTTTTGACAATGAGTGTAATTAGCAGTTGGAACAATTTACCAAGGGTCGTGGAGGTTTTTCCATCATGGACCATTTTAAAATCAAGATTGGATAGTTTTCCTAAAAGATCTGCTCTAGGAATTCTTTTGGGAAAGTTCTAGGGCCTGTGTTATATAGGAGGGCAGACTAGATGATCACAGTGGTCCCTTCTAGCCTTGGAATCTATGAATCTGTGACATTTATTGCTCAATTTATATACTCCCTCAGCTAAATCAGTCTGTATTTGTCCATCTCATTCACTGTCTTGGTGTAATTAGCCACTGGTTATTTTCACAGCTGCCATTATTTCAGTGAACAACATGCTCCCCTTTTGCTGATAGATGGAATGATTCTTAATTGCAGACAAAAATCATATCTTAAAGGTTGATTGCCTTCTGGGTGGCCAATCCTATGTGCTGATCCTTTCCCATGTCTCCCCACAGTTAAGGGAAGGAAGGGTTGATCCCACATCTGTACAGGTCCATTCATCTAACTTGCTATAGCATGGGATGGTGGGCAGAGCTAGTGGACTGAACACAGCACTAGGTGCCAAGAACACAAAAGAGTTCTCATCCTGTCTTTCCCACTGGGTCAGCGTGTAACCTTGGACAAGTCATGTATTAACCTGATTGCATTTCAGTTTCTGAAGATGCTAATAATTACCTCCTTCAGAGAGGTGTTGTGAGGGTCTGATAAGTTACTGTTTACACAGCATTTTGAATATATAAGACTGTCAGAAAGTGCCCACCATCTGCGGCACCCTCTGGCATCAGGCAGCAGCACAACCAGTGTGCCAGCCTCAGTTTCCTCTTGAATGGTCCCAGAAATAGTCCAAGCTGTCTTTGAGTATAAATAGCCCTTGCTGGGTTAATTTATTACAAAAGAAAGCCCCATGCATATAAGCTATAACAAGCCATGTCCCCAACAATCCACCAACGTACGGCCCTGGTATTTCTCACCATGCTCAGGCTCTCTGCAGCTCCAGCATCTCTCACCACAAAGTGAGAGCCCTCACCCCAGCCTCCAGCCCTCTCTGATCCTCCAGATTCAGCTCTCTGGCTCACACAGCTAGCAGGCATCTCCCTCTGCTGCTCTCTGCCTTCAGTCCCCTCCAGCCTTCTCTGGCGAAAGCTCTCTGGCTCAGGAAGGCCAGCAGGCAACTCTCTCTGCTAGCTACCTGGCAATTCTTTCCTCTTTCCAGTGGGGGCCTGCGGAGATTTCTGATTGCTGTAGGTTTCCCCAAGCAACTCTCTACTGCGCCTTCTGTCTATCCTCTGTGCTCAGGGAGTTCTCACCTGCCCCTTCCTGTCTTCCTTCAGGCACCTCCTCCCTCTAGAGCCCAGCTGCCCTCTTTTAAGCCTATCTGGGGAGTCAGGTGCACTGGCCTCTGAAAGGGCCAGTGTCACCCTGTGACGACAAAGACATTAAAGTGTCATATCTCTCTCTCCATCTACACTACCATATTTTCAGCGTGCTCATCGCTAGCAGCTAAATATAGCAATAACATAAAGCATCATTACTGTCTGAAACCGGACCTTCTGTCTGCCTTCTTTGATTAGATCATATTCCTGTCACTATTAACATTGTCCCCCTTCCTCTCTTTCCAAGTCACTGCTAGAGCTGTGCAAATATTGAACAACAAAAGCTGAAGCCATATGCAACTCAGCTAGTTTGGGGAGTTGGACATGGAAATCAAACCAACTGAGGGATTGTTGGGTTTGGTTTGGTTTGGTTTTTTGTTGGAGGACCTTGACAAGGTGTTTGGAGGTTCCGTTTCCCTAATTTAGTCTCATTGGGGTATTTTGCTGTATTTGGCCCACACAAGCCTGATTCTTAAAGTGAAACCCAATGGACATAAAATCTGAAAAATGGCAAAAAGGCCTATGGGAACCCAGCAAGCTTCATGCTGATTTAGTTGCTTTGGCTCCTTGGATATCATTCTAAAATCTCTCTTCTGACCTTAGCTTCTGATTGGGTCTCTGCCTCTCTTTTTCTTATTTCCTCCACCTCGGCCTGAACTATTTTGTGATACTGAATATGAATGGTGCTATCAAATGCTAAATTTTCCTGTATTGGTTCTTTATAGAGATGAAGATTCAGCTCTAAGCTCTGAAATATATGCAGCTAGGCGGATAAATGGGAAACAGCTCAGTAGCACTTGTGTATGTAGTCACCATGGCAGATTCTCCAGGGGGTGCATTAGGCATGTGAGGTCATAATCCAGGACTCAGACTACGAGCACTGACTGTTGTGTTTTTCCCCTTCTCTTGAGGACAGCAGGATCCTGGCGGCAGCCCCCTGAATGTGAAACACCAGTTTTTGAAAGTGGTGCAGCGCATATTCCAGTACCGCGTGCTACTCACAGGTCAGCAAAATGAAAGCACTTCTAAACTTGCTATAACAGAGCCCCGTCTTTCCTGCACCGTGCCGGGGCCAGATGTAGATGGCAGGCCAGGTTTGGGGAGGACAGAATGCGGTCAGAACAACGGGCTGGAATCCCCAGGGAGCAACGATCTGTTTAATATATAATAGAGAAATTATCATGTATTAATAGAGATAGGCCTGAGCTACAAATGTGTGATCTAGCTCTGGCGAATGATTGAATTGCACACTGGACAGGCCACTGGGGGTTAATGACAGCTATGGGCATAGTGAAGGGAGAAAGACCCCTGTTTAGTGAGATCATGCTGAAGTATAACTATAGGATTGGAGTGTGCAAAGTCAGACTCTTGTAAGCCTCATTTTCCTGGACTTACCCATATTGGTATCCGTGGGTAGGGAAGGAAGAGTGCCCAGACACTTGTTGTCAGCACATATGTTTGATTTTACTTATGATGCCATTCATAGCTTAGCCCATACCTGGGTCACTTAAAGTTATAGATGATCCTGAACCAAAATCCTGGAGCCAACACCTCTGAACTCTGGAAAAACTCCCGTCTAAACTTTGCCACACCACAAAATCTCTCTTTATGCTCCCCCCTATCCCTGACATGTGTCACACTCTGTAGAATGCTCTTTTTCTCCTCAAGAATGTCCCCTGAGGTTCTGGCTCCTTGTGGCTGCTCCTTCTCATCCTGCCCACTGCTAATCCACTCCAGCCAAAGCTGCAGTTTGTGGGAGGAGCAGCCATTCCAACAGGGATAGGACCCAGTATCATGTCATGAACACTCAGTGCACTGGATTAGGATATTGAGGCTCCCTACAAGGGAACAGCAGTGAATTGGTTGGGGAGGGAAGTGGTGAAATGTAACAGCACAGCACAGCAGATGTGGTGGCAGGTCAGTGCATCAGATGGAATCACAGGAAACCAGAGATCATTAGATGTAAAGATAAAGAACCATATTGGGTGTATGTATGTGGGTGGGTGGGGAAAGATGGGAGATAACCTAAGTGTGGGACAGTGAGAAGGAAGCAGTAAACCCCTCCCATACTCAACAGCTGATAAAAGGAAGAGCATATTAGAGGGGACTCCTATAAATGCAGCAGAACAAAGGGATTGTCTGAAATGTTATTCACAGCACAGATTAGCAGCAGTTTCATCTTGCTCCAAACACATTGATCAAGGAGGCAACTCATTTTTCACAGCTGTTTCTGCTTTTTTAGTAACAGTGACTCAAGTGAGCACTACATACCAGTAGGAGGATATTTTGGACTGACTTGCTTCCCTCTCTGGGTATATCTACACTAGGCGATGGAGCCTTTCAAGGAACAGCAGTTGCATGTGACATTTAGCTGTCTTGCTTTGTCCTTATAGAGGTTACGTGCATCCATACAGCAACACTGTTCTGATAGAATGGATTTGGTGTGTCCACACACACAGTGCCCCTCACCACCACAGTGTATTCTGGGACTTCAGGTGCACTTAATCCTATGGGAGCCAGCACTATTGCTGAGAGTTTTAGGGCGGTTACCAAACACGAGGAACTTCATTGTCAGACAAAGTTAGGAGAAGCAGTGCAGCTGCAATGCTTGTGGATTCCCATTCACACTCAGGAGAAACTATTGTAGATAGTATTGTAGATATCTATTGTAAATAGCACTGGTACACCCAGACATGAAATAGTCTTTGTTCTGGGCATTGCAGCCAACTGGTATAACCAATGCTTGTAAATCACCTAGGATGGCTGTTGCATGCAGATACAAGGTATTATATAGGCATTGCAAGACATTCTAAACTATGGGTGGCTGCAACAGTTCATCTAGGTTTAGAGAAGTCCATGGATGCTACCAGATGCACTCAGATGATAGGACAGGCAGGGTTTGTTAAGGTACAGTCATTCAATTTCTCTGCACAGTGTGAAAAATAAAATACACCGGCTCTTATGTTCATAACTAGCTGTTTCTACCCAGATAAGGAAAGGTATTTAATCTCAACACTGGTTGCCAATTACTGTGCTACAGCCAAAAGGAGTTGCCCACATTAGTTAAATGTCTCTAGCCAAGTGCAGAGAATGCAGATGGGAAAGGGAAACCTAAATACGGCATGCCAACACAGCACATTACCTCCCTGCCAGACTAGGCATTGAAAGGCACAATAGCAGACTCCTCTTAACCTTCCAGAATCCAGATGAGAGACCAGTACAGTTAAGAGGTGTGGGAGGGCCTGGAAGAAGTGAACTCACATGAGAGGGGGAGACTGAGGACGAGGGGGTTCCATGATCCATGTTGCACTTTGGAATATAGACCTGATTCTCAAATGTGAAATTTGGGGGCTTGCATTAATCAAAGAGCTAATTTAAAAGAGTAAATATTTTCAGGATTGGGATTTAATAAATAAAAGCACCCAGATACTACAGTGATGAGGGTCACATAAGGAACTAGAGGGAGAGAGAAAAATACCCTGACTCACACGAGTAGCCCTCCCGAAGCCAATGGAACTGTTTGAGTGAGTAAAGGTTTGCAAGATTTAGCTCCTGTGATCATTACTGAAATTCTCTATGTCCAAAACACTGGAACATTGAGAAATATTGAATTATACTACTAGGTCCATTTTCCTATTAATATAGGAAATCAGTAATTATATCTAGTACCATGCATTCAAATGGGAAAATAGAAAACGTTCATCAGAAGACCATTTATTAATCAAACTGTGTCACAGTCAGCAGCTTCTCTTGTCTGAGAAACAGGGAAACATTTTAGTTAGTTCCAGTTAGTGAGGTTTTACACCAGACATTCTTTGCTTTGAATCTCAGATTTGAATGAGCCCAAAATATCAAAACAAAACTCGTTTTAAAAAAAAAAAAAAGACCAGGTTTAATTTTGGAAGGAAATTAAATCTGTCCAGACCTCCCTTTGTTTCCCATATAGGTGATTTTAAAAAGAGTAAAGGGTTATGGGTTATTACGGTTGTGTGTTTCAACTAGTCAAACCAAACTCTTTAATTATCTGGGAATTTACTGGATGTTCTATATCTGATTGTTTCCTGCAGATTACTTGAATAACCTTTGTCCTGATTCTGCAGAGTATGAAGACACACAAGGTAATTTCAAATGGGTAGAAGAGAAACTTTTATTTAGTATTATAAATAACTAGCAGTGCGCTCTGTCCCAGGAATGTGTGAATGAAGCCCAGACTGCGATGGCATAGGTCTGATCTGAGGTCTCACTGCTAATTTAGGGGAGATTGCCTCTCCAGTATAAACTCCTTGAGCAGAGACTGTACATTTTTGGGGTTGTACAGGGCCAAGTATATTAATTATTAATACAACAACTTATGGCATGACCTTCAACTCCCAATGGTATCAGAGCAGGCTGTGTCTGACCAGTCATCCATTCAGAATGACCAAATCTGCTAAAAAAATCTGAAACTTCTGGATAAAAAATTAAGCGGTCTGATTTTTCTAATAGGATAAAATATTGGCCAGAGTGATGCTGTGTTCATTAGTATAGAGTGATCTCAGGTTGCATGGGTCTGACTGTTCTCTTACACAAGTGTAAATCCGGAGTAACTCCACTGGAGTGAATGGAGTTTGGAGCAGTGTATAAATGGTGTAAGTAAGATCAGACTCAGGCACAATGAGTGTGAAAGGCACAATGTAAAGCTGCATTCTGTCCTGTTTCCGTATTTCATGTGGAATGGCCTGAGGCAGGGTCTTCTCACTGAAATGGAAGTTCAAATTCAAATTCAGCTGCCGGTCGGTCGTTTCTGCTCAGCATCAGAGGCCTATGGTCACATTAACTTGGAAACTTGACCCACCTCCTAATACTGTGAGGAAGAAGGAGGAGGCAACCTTTCAAAGTAGGTTCGAGGTCATGTGCAGGGCAAGTAAGAGGGAAGTCAGACTGCTGTTGTCTGCCTCCTACCTTGCCTTCTCAGCCTGTGAATAAATAAAGGCAAGCATGAGCCGCAGAACTGGGATCCAATCCCAGATTTCAAAAACTCATGAAGTTCTGAATTGTTTGGGCTCAGCACATTGGGCTAGCCAGAGAATTTTAATCCCGATCTGGATTTGGTTGATTAAGGATTGGTTCATATCCAGTTCTAGAACGGAGAGCAGAGCAAAGTCTCTGACAGTCCCTTGCTATTTCACAAGCACATGCACATGCAGTAAAGATCTGGAGGTTAAGATTTGGGGAATTCCTATAGCTCCGGCATGCAGAGCCGACAGAAAGAGAACTGAGTGCACTCACAAGCATAGCTCAAACTTTTTGGTTCATTCCCAGAGCTCAGCCACCAGCTAAATCCTGATCCAGTCTTGGCATACCCATGCTGGGTATGATACTTCTGAAGCAAAGTGGGATGGCCTGATGTGTTTATTTGCATGCCATTACCCAGAATGAACTTGCAGCTCACCATTGTTTTACACTGGTGCTGATGCTGCAGAGGTCTGGAATCAGCAAGAAGGCTTGGTCTATACTTGTTCCTTGAGCTCTGACCAGCACACATACACTTGAGAGACAACATATCAAAATCAGCTTGTTCAAAATAAAGAACTAATGAGGTGCTCAGCACCTATCAGGATAGGGCCTTTTAGTTGCCTTGGAATAATCTTTGTGGGTTACTCCCATTGAAGTCAGTATGAGGTCACAGGGGGATCAAGGCTAATGTTATAATTAATCAAGCAAATACTGTTCTCGGCACATCCAATGTGAACCTGGAGTAACTCAGTTGAAATGAATTGGGTTACTCCTGATTGACCCTATATATAACTGAAAGCAGAACTTGGCCCACCATTTAAAGCACTAGCCATAAGCTAAAGATAAACTGTCATGCTTACAAAAAACTGCTACTGGAAGATATGTCACAAGATGATTTGGTGAAAATCCAAAGCACCTTAAGATGGTCCCATGAGCTTTCTTGTTTGGGGCAAGCTTGACTCATGGTATTATAGCAAGAGGGAGACAAAGGGAAGGAAAGAGGGGACCTGATGTGGAAAGCAAGTAGGACTGTTTGGGATCCTAGTTATTAAGGGCAGCTTGACCTTGAAGGTGCCAGTGCAGCTTAGCCAATGCATTTCTTTAAAAGATGTAATTATAAAAAGGTGAGATATAGGTTGCTTTTTCTAACCTCTCATGTGCTTTGTGCCTTTCTGTGTTGCTTCACCCATCAGCTGCCTTACTCATGGTCTCTGAAATTACGGACCGAGCCAACGACAGCATGCAGCAAGGGGTGAGTTGTGATTTGATGATTGGTACTGTCTTCTCTGTGAGTTTGCTGAGGAGTATGTGTCTACTATACTATCCCACTGTACTATCCCAGAAACCCAGATCCTTTAGCCTATGCAACTGGCTCTCTAATGCCACCCCTCCCCCATTTCCTCCACTGGAGGGCACAGCAGAGAATCTGGGCCATAGTTTGCACAGCATTTGGAGATTCTTTGGGCTTTATAGAAGTGGTGGACTGTATAATTTTTGCTGATTAAGAGTTTATTTCAGAACCATTTCCTCTAAACTTCCATATTGACTTTTGCACTTTATTTTTATCATATTATCACAATAATAATATCATATTAAAGCAGTGACATGGAAGAGATTAAACACAATTTCCTCCTTCCCCAACCTCTGTAAATGCACTTTGTTTTCTTGAGGGGCAGGTTTCATGAGAGTTAAATTGCTGGTCTTGGAAGCTGTATTCCCGCTATCGTAACCCATTCATATACAAGCGCACACAAATCCGCAGCTCCTTCTTCTCTTATTCATAAATTATCAATGCAAAGCAGTTAACAGCTGACTCTAATTACGGAACAGACTCAGAGTAATTCAGAATACAGTATTAATAACTCGACATGTACCTGGATGAATTCCTAGACTATAATTTAGACTTGGGATAGGAGGGAGAGTCCTGTTGGTACTAACACATCATACTACACTTCCAAATCTGACAGGAGCATTGAATTACAGCCTACGTTTTCTATGGAACACCAAGAATTAATTTATTAGCATTTTCTTTAATGGTAACAATACTCTAGCACAGTGCTTCTCAAAGTGGTGGTCCGTGGAGCGGTGCCGGTCCGCGAGCCATCGGCTGCCGGTCCACAGCGAGTTTCCTCATAAGAGCGTCGAATAGGATAATAATATGGCTCCGGTCCCTGGCACATTGGGGAAAAAAATTGCCGGTCCCCCACATCAGTTAGCTTGAGAAGCACTAGCACCTTTTCCCCTAGCAGCTTTTATCCCAGAATTTCAAATCATTTTACAAATATTAATTACCTCACATGAGTGCTGTGGGGCTAAGAAAATATTTGCATTTTACACATGCACAAGCAGAAGCTCAAAGTAGTATTAGAGGAACCTATTGCTCTGAGAAGCATTCACTACTCTGAGCTAAGAAAGGGCTGTATTACCCTTTAAACCTCTACAGTTTATTACAGGCAGCACAGTCCTAATTTTTAGATACCTGCCCTCAATGTATCCCAGTGAGGTCCCATTGCCGCTGTTGGGCAGCTTCCTTTGGTCTCCTACTGCAATAGTAATCAGAAGAAATCCTAACTAAATCGCCTGAGCTTGTCATCCAGATCCCTTGGTATCCAGGATTTCAACAGTACCATCTGCCAAATAAAAAGGGACTGGGGAGGGTGGAGTGTCACCCTATAGCAGAGAGGAAACCTGAGATGCTGATAGAGACTCTTTACCAAAGTTGTCAAAGTAATGACAATAATTAAAACCTCTTCCCTTCCCCCAGTATAAATAGGTGCCTTCTGATTGATACCATTCCTTTAATGGGAGCATTGGTTTGGTTAGATTCATTTTACATACCATGCTGGGTGCTAAATTGATACAACTTGCAGCACTCATGTATTGTGCCTGTGCCGCTCAGGCCAGGTAAGCAGTTAACAGTATCAGACTTTGGTAATGAGCTTCCTGATCTTTGCAAGGCTTTTGAAAGGAAGGACTGTGCTCGCTAGTTAACCTTTCAGACCCCTGGTACAAATCTATTAATCCTGAATGTAAAACCCCAGATAATCCTAGCAATGGTTCTAAAGTGCTTTCAATTACCCGTGTCACCTCAGCAAGAGCAGCTATTTGGTAAAAGGAGACAGCAATGTGTAGGCCCTTAGGGGGTGTATTTATGGGGGAGGGGAGCAGCATACTTTGCCTCCAGCTCCTCGCTTCCTGGATCCTGGAGGAAGAATGTCACTACAGAGCCTAATGTATCTATGTATCTATGGACTATAAGGTGGATAGAAAGCTGGCTAGATTGCCAGGCTCAACGGGTAGTGATCAATGGCTTGATGTCTAGTTGGCAGCCAGTATCAAGCAGAGTGCCCCAGGGGTCGGTCCTGGGGCTGGTTTTGTTCAACATCTTCATTAATGATCTGGATGATGGGATGGATTGCACCCTCAGCTAGTTCGCAGATGACACTAAGCTGGGGAGAGAGGTAGATACACTGGAGGGTAGGGATAGGGTCCAGAGTGACCTAGACAAATTGGAGGATTGAGCCAAAAGAAATCTGATGAGGTTCAACAAGGACAAGTGCAGAGTCTTAGGAAGGAAGATTCCCATGCACTGCTAGAGGTTGGGGACCGACTGCCTAAGCGGCAGTTCTGCAGAAAAGGACCTGGGGATTACAGTGGACGAGAAGCTGGACATGAGTCAACAGTGTGCCCTTGCTGTCAAGAAGGTAAACAGCATATTGGGCTGCATTAGTAGGAGCATTGCCAGCAGTTTGAGGGAAGTGATTATTCCCCTCTATTCGGCACTGGTGAGGCCACATCTGGAGTATTGTGTCCAGTTTTGGGCCCCCCACTACAGAAAGGATGTGGACAAATTGGAGACAGTCCAGCAGAGGGCAACAAAAATGATTAGAGGGTTGGGGCACATGACTTATGAGGAGAGGCTGAGGGTTTAATCTGCAGAAGAGAATAGTGAGAAGGGATTTGATAGCAGCCTTTAGCTACCTGAAGGGGGGTTCCAAAGAGGATGAAGCTAGGCTGTTCTCAGTGGTGGCAGATGACAGAACAAGGAGCAATGGTCTCAAGTTGCAGTGGGGGAGGTCTAGGTTGGATATTAGGAAAAACTATTTTACTAGGAGGGTAGTGAAGCACTGGAATGGGTTACCTAGGGAAGTGGTGGACTCTCCATTCTTAAAAACCTCTAAGGCCCAGCATGACAAAGCCCTGGCTGGGATGATTTAGTTGGGGTTGGTCCTGCTTTGAGCAGGGGGTTGGACTATATGACCTCCTGATCTTCTATGATCAGTAATGGGCACTGTGTGGGGATAGGAAGCAGCAAGTGGGAGTGTCATGGACAGACAGAT